CTGGTAAAAATATTGGTGGTTGCGGATCTACAGAAATTATTTTTGAATGTACAGGGTGTTCCATTTTTACGATGTCAATTAATAACTGATCTTTTTAAATAGAACATCCTGAATATTTGGTTGTTTCAATGCCGTTTGTTCAAAGTGCTATAACTATTCTTTTTCAAATGGAACTACCACTATTTTATTTCGCTATTCGCTTTTGTCTTCTCTTAAATGTTTATAAGGGGTGCCCTGTGCTTAAACTCCGCAGTGTTTAGGTTATTCAATATTTTTCACAAAAGTACCTACTCATTAATTAATTACGTGTTTATACATCGGAGTAGGCTGGCTATAATAAAAAAAACAAAAGAATACCAGAAAGTAAACAAGTGTCAAAAATTAGATAATTATTTGCTGCAAGTATACTTTTGATACAAAATAAGATTAATTAAAAAGGCGAATTTCGAACAAATGAACTAATTTCTTTAGATAAATACGGAGAGCCGCAACTTTATAGGTATCAAAAGAGCCGCAGGTTGCCGACCCCTGATCTAGGATCACACGTCACACCTGGCAATTTTGATACAAAATAAAAAGGTCGTTAACCTCTTTTCTTTTAAATTCTGACGTTTGAAATTTGTTCTCAATGGTTAATCGATAACTTATCGATAATTATCGATTAATAGATAGTCAATCGATAAATTTAAAAAAAATGGTCGACCGGTCAACAAAAAAAGAATTTTTTGCGCATGGGATTTACACAATATATATTCTGACTATAATAAGCAAAAATAAATAAAAAGTGCGATTAAGACATCGAAAATATTTGCTTTTACAAAAGTTACAGCGATTTGATTGAAAGCTTTCAGGGGCGAAAATTAAAGCTGGAATCTTTGTTTTCCCTAAAAAAAAAAGAAAAATGGAGGGTGATATTTTTCCGCGGTTACTTAGCAAAGAGGAAAAAAAATCCTGGAACAGTTTTAAGGCAATAGTCCATGGTTTCCCGTTCAGTGTTTCCTGGGAAACCATAGAGCTGAAAATTATGACGAGCTGACAGGATTTGGTTTTGTATCATGGGGTATAGAATGTCTCTAAAGAATAAAGATGCACAGGTTACATTCTCATTTAGATCAATTTAAGGATAATATGGGAGCTTATTCGGAATAAGGACAACACTTTCTCGAGACAATGGAACTTAGGCACCTTCCCAAGGCCAGGAAGTTGGAAGCATGATGGAAGATCAGATTCAGTTGAACATGACAAAAACAGCAAAACTGTTCCATTTTTAAACATTTAGACTCTAAGATAAACAAATTATAAATGTAGAAACATTACCATTTAATAAATCATGCCTATGTAAGTAGGATTCTATAGGTATTCTTATTTTTTGGTTTTTTGCATTTTTTTCACACAAAAACAAATACATAACCATTTTTTGTTCTAATTCTTATTTGTGGCTATAGAAGCAATAAAAATAAGGTATATATGTCCCATGCGCAAAAATGCTGTAGACCGGTGTAATTTATCGAAAATGTTAAAGGATTGGTCGATAAACCTATAATTTCCGATAATCTATCGATTAATCTCACAACTAAACTATTAAGATAGATAATTATCGAGAGAATTTTTAACGACATAAACTTTTCAATGTTTAGGTATACCAGTTTACTTCCAACAAAAGCGATGTAAGAGCATTGTTGAGTTGCCATATGATCACAATTCACAACCTACTGCTGTACTCATTTTTGAGGATTATCGTCCACTTGATCACCTTTGATTTCAGACAACTTGAGCATCAAAAGATCCTGTTTTATTTAAATTATCTCTCGCAATATCAATACCAAAAAAACAAAAATGTTAGCGAGTGTACGCATGGATGATGTAATATATCGATTGAGAATATATATCGATGAGATTTATGAAAAAGTATCGATAGTTTTCTCTTGATAATTTCCGCTACTTATTTATTAATCGATAAATATCAGAGATAGACAATTTTCGTGGCAATAATAATCGATTATTATCAGCAGCTAACAATCATTATTAATTATTTTCAAAAGTTATCGATAATTATAAAAAGTTATCGATAATTATCAAACGTTATCGATCATTATCGAAAATTAGCCTTACGATTTATCGATAATTGTCGATTATTATCGAAAGTTAACGATAAGTGATTAAAGTTATCGATAATTATCGATAGTTATCAATTAATGATTAATCGATAATTATCAGACTGAACAGACTTATCGATAAATCGATAACAATTTCATTTATCGCTCAGCTCTAGTAGGTATACGAATTCACGTAAACTGGGACCGATTTATTTGTGCACAATGCTGCATGGTTATAAAAAAAGCTGATTCGAGAAATTTAGTTATCAAATGTGAATGTGGAAATGATGTAGCTGCCTGCTTGCAACGGACAATATTTTGCCTTAAAATTTTTTTTGATCGTTTTTTAATAACAAAATCTCCCGCTTTCAGTAAAAATGTGGAACCTGCCTATTTTACTGCCTGTGAATAGAATGTATGAAATTGCATTCCTTCAAGGACAAGGACTGCAAGCTTCGTTCGTCTAAATGTATTATTATTTACATTACAAATTTACGCAATGCTGCTTAAGGGATCTATTTTTAGAACATTCCAATCCTATTTATAAAACCATTCCAATGATAACACAAAAAACATCCGGAGTTCCTGACATCTGACGATTAAAAAGAAAAATATTCGAATGGTCAAAATAAATGGTTTGTAATGCTGCCATCTAATGTCAATGTAACGCTCCACTTTCGATCGCCCACGGACTTTCAAACGATCGAACTGCTCCTAGCGGCGGCCAGTTGGCACATGGTCACAAACTGTTATATGGGATCCGCGCTTCTGATAGTTATAAATTCAATGACCATATATATAAGAGAAGTATATGGATAACCGCCTATGATTGCAATGTGCAAATTGTTCGCCATAAAAGAGAGCTGCCCTATTCCTTAGTCCTCAACTCTGTATTTATGCGCGAACTCCCCAAGTAAATATTTACTTCTCTCCGCCTACTTTTAAGTAGCGCCAATTTCAAATTTCATAACCTATAACTCGAAAATAGGGTTAAAATTTTATTAAACCATTATTGTGTGCAATTACCATATCTCTTATATATATGGTCTAGACCACTCGTTGCGTGAAAGTCATGCGCAGTTGTAGCTACAGGACGGATCTTGCAGCTGTTTTGCTATAGAGGTTATTCAGTGCCCTAACCTATAAATTGACATATTTTCTGTGAAATAAAACATGGAATTGTTCGAGGATTTTCTGGTTATTAATAGCAGTATCCATAATGCAAAAACAAAACAAAATACAAAACTGACAAATGACAGTTCAATTCTTGTCTGTGATTGGTTATCGCCTAAAGTTTCTCCACGATTCGGGAATGCAGCTAAACTTGAACTTATCCCTCTCGTATGCGATCATGACGTCATGGCGGCCGGTCATATCACATGCACATCACGGAGCATATCGACTAACTTCGGGAATCGATGCCCTCAGGATCACAATAACATAACCAAAAAGAGAGATTCTTATGGAATGAAAAAAGCAGTGATCGTGGTTTCCTATATTATAGTCTGGGACTTCACCGAAAATTATAAACAAACATTTTCAAGTGAATGACATCAATCATCACGCAAAATCGGCTTCATAACCACAACTCACGCATGCACAGCAAAATTACCTAAATCACAACGTTCACATTTAAAAGAATGAACAAACACACTCATAAGTTCTCGAATGATAGGGCACTTCCAGAAAAACTGCGAGCAGGGTGTTAAAGGAGGAACATCCCTTCTTTCACCCCTACAGGGGGTTTTCTTCCAACCTCTCTGTAACTTCTTTAATGCGATGTCAAAATTAGGTGTTCTATTTAGAAGTACGTGCAAGGTCAAATTTAAAAATTAATTTCTCAAATTCTGGGGCACTTCTAGAAAAACTGTAACATGGGTTTTAAAGGGGAACATGCCTTCTATCACCCCTATAGGGGGTTTTCTTCCAACCTCTCTGTAACTTCTTTAATGCGATGTCAAAGTTAGGTGTTCTATTTAGAAGTATGTGCGATGGTCAACTTTAAAAATTTATTTCTCAAATTCTGGAGCACTTCTAGAAAACCTTTAACAGGGGTTTTTAACCCTGCAGTGGTGACGTGAAATTTTGGAACACCAGTGGTGACCTCGGTCTGAGAGACCGAATTTGATTTTGGCTTGATTTCGTAGTTACTACGCATGTAACTTGGCTTAAAATAAAGGAAAAAGTACAGTCAATAAATAAAGGCATATAAATCGAAAAATAAATTTTATTCTTGTAACATAACCAGTAGCGGTCCCAGGATTTGGTAAAGGGAGGGGCTCAAACCCGAACTTTGCCCCAACATGGAAAAAAATGAAAGAAATCTAATGAAAAAAATGAATGAGGGGGCCCGTGGCCACTGACAGTAGCGGTCTCAGGATTTGGTAAAGGGAGGGGCCCAAACCCGAACTTTGTCCCAACACGGAAAAGAATAAATCTGATGAAAAAAATGAACAATAGGGGGGGGGGCCGGGCCCCCTGGGACCGCCACTGAACATAACTAAATTGAATTATACACAATACTAAGCTTATGGGGGGATGCGCGTTGCAATGCTGCGCTGACTAGAATTTTCGTAGCATCAATGCACCGGAAAGCGGCCAATTACTCACGGCACTAAATTGTCAAAGAACGGCTTGCTTCATCAAGTTGTTCGTCTGGTACTAAACTCAGACACGCAAAATATTAAGCTAGCAGAACTAGCAGTGCCATGCGCTGCATCGTTTTTATAAAAATTTGAAAAATACTTTTCGTCGGTCTGAGAGACCGTGCGCCACCACTGAAGGGTTAAGAGGAACTACGCTTCTATCATCCCTGCAAGGACTTTTCTTTCAATCTGCCTTTTGGTATGTAGGGAAGTTACATTTCTCGGTGTGTGGTTCACTTTTGAAATAAACGCTTCCAGATGACGAATAGGATAATCGTTTAATTATCAGGATACACATTTTTTTTGACAATCTTTGTGTAACTTTGTTAGCGACGTCATCGTTTACATACTACGGTGCACCCATCAAACAGAACGAGATACGTGTCTAACAATGTCTCACATGCTCGTGTTTCTACACAGGTACATGTATTAGCATCTTGTAAATATACAAATCTCTCATTCAATGGAGATTACATATTTAACTTATCGTGTTAGTAGATATATCACGATTGAACTCGACACAATTTCCATTACGAAGGAGCATCAACTTGTCGATGTGCTTGTTCCTTACAAGAGTCGTAGAACATGAGCTTCGTTCCATTAACGGTTTATCTCTGGACTCTTTATCCATTATTAATTCCCACGAACCTGTAACTGTTCACTCAATTTGCATTACAGGTAAGAATAAAGCCCGCTTGACATGGAGCAATAAAAATTGCAATTGCATGCAAGTTGCAAGAAAAATTGCGAAAGGCATGCGCAGTTCAAAGCCAGCTGATCAATTGCTGCAAGAGACTTGCATGCAATTTTTATAGGACCGGTGCTATTTTTCTTGCATGAATCGTGCAATTCTAGGGATAAATCTAGTTGTTTTTGTGTCACCAACCTAGTAAAATACAGCGGCGGCAACTATGATGCTGAGAGACGCACTCATTACTTGTTTTTATTAATCTTATTTATTCTTGTAATTTTCATGTTTCTTCAAGCAATCAAAATTTAATTTTCATTTGAGGTTAACTACTTTGTTGACAAATCCATATGTTTCTTCTGTTGGCAGACATGTGGCAATTGAAATAGAATTGCACCATGTCAAATACCATGCAATGCTTATTGCATGCAAGGATTTGACCTTGCAATTTCTTTCTGCAAGTTCTTGCGCGTTGTATTGCTCCATGTCAAGCGGCCTTAAGTGAAATTTGAGATTACCTATTTTTATAGCGACAGCGTACACCTCCAATTTATTGTTAAGGGGACCCGGCGCCTCTTGCACATCTTTCGATTTCCATCGGCCTTTTTCTTGCTTTATATTAAACAATATTGCGCAGCAGGTGCAAATCCTACATTCATTGTTTACTGTTATCATAAAAGGAATCGTAAAATTGGACTTACCCAATATGTACGTAAAAACTGTAAAGGTCACGTGTGACCGACAGAAAATAACCCAATAAATCCCTTGCCTTCTCAAAATTGATGAACGTATTAATTAATCCATTTACACGTTCGACGTAAGTAACAATCAAGCTGAGTACACTAACCGCTGTTTGGTTTTTGCGCAACCGCAAATAAAACATACCTACGACCTACGGCTACTTTCCTTCTCTAACGTAACTGCGCATTTGCATTCAGAGTAATTTTCATTCATACCATTGTCCATTTCCATTTGATACATTAAATTTGTGTCTCATTCTTATGCGATACATTTTATGCAGACCGAATTTCCATTGTATGTATAAGCACACTTAAAATGCGCTGTATTTTAATGCGGTGTATCGCATAGAAATGATTCACAAAATAATTCGACGTTCATTTGAATTAAAAGATGCACTATTAAATACATTGGAATTCAATGCTACATCTTAAACTTCGATTTAATTTTTATGCCATACCTTACGAATAATTTTATTTCCATTGGTAATATCGCAACGGGTATCTATTTTAATCCAATACGTGAATAACGTTTGTTCTTAAAGTCATAAAGTGCATATATACGGATTTGAATGCATGCGATTTAATTTGATATACGCATGAGAATGGTTTACATTTTTTTTGGATGCAAATATACTCGACTCAATTTTATTTAATATCAATTCAATTACACACAGCAGCAAATGTATTTCACTTCTGGTATAGCTGGACAGTTCCAAATAAATGCGTTATGTGTTTAAATCTTTTATACAAATTGCTATTTATTTTGATGCATGACAATTAAATTGGCAATGTTTAATATTCATCTCTGTCATCTTGTAGTGTTTTAGGATTCAAACGCTAAAATCCATATTAACATTTCCTACATTTGCATACATTTGGCTAACATTTTTTTGACATGTTTAATTTGTTGGTAACAATTCAATTGTTATTTAAATATTTTGGTATACGTTATAAATGTATAATAAATAGTAAAACGCATCTTGTACACACCAGCATTTAAATAGGTTTGTGATGTAGATGATCGCAAAGAAAAAGCATTCAAAATAAACCTATCGCATTTTAAATGCAATTTATAGTATTTACAGGCATTAAAAACTGAAGTGGTGCTACGGGATTCGTCATATAAACGTCGTTATTTTGTGACATGTTACAAAGGAAACTATTTAAATTACTATCGTACTCCAAGAAAATGTGGATTTTAATTTAACAAAACCATTTTATTACAATGGCATATAAACGTAACCAATTAAAATGCTATACTTAAAATGCAGTTAATAAATAGTAAATTGGCGTTCCATAGGTTATTGTCTTTCCGCCTTAATTCTGTATTCCCTTTACCGTTGCCCCGCAGGTGCAAGTCGAATGATAGTTACAAAATGGGCAACTTTTGTATCTGCACTATTTTCACATAACCTCCAATTTTCCTAGAAAAACCGGAAAAACTGTTTTTTTCGTTTTTTATTCTTATTTTTGCGAAAAAATGTCGTAGGGGTTTGAAATTTGGAGGAAACAGCTTGTTTCATGATAAAAAGAAGATAGTTTTTGGGCCCATAATGTTGAGCCGTTTCCAAAAAATCAATTTTTTTTTCATCGTACAGAGGTGCGCGGGTGAGCAAAATTTTCGTAACGACGTCGTAATAATCAAAAATAAAAAATATTATTCCAATAGAAAAATTATAAGAAAAGCGGCAAAAACGAGGGAACAGTTTTAAGATATACCGTTTTTGACAGTAGGTAAATAGCTTTTTTTTGCAAATAAATTAACGTATTGGATTCGCGATAATAAAAAGTTGTTGAAATCTGTCTTCTCTCTTTTCTTTAATGCTGCTAAAATATTTTCTTTTGTTTCCTAGTGCCCAACTGCCTTAATTCAGGTGGACTGTGTTTATACAGATTTTGCGAAGGCATTTGATACAGTATCCCATCAAGTCTTGCTCCGTAAACTTGTTTTAAATTGCGTAAGTAATCCGACCGTCAAATTCTTAAAATCATATTTATCTTTCCGTAAAACAAGAGTGAAATTCAATGGTGTGAATTCAGCCGAATTTTATCCCTCATCAGGCGTTCCCCAGGGAACACTTCTTGGTCCTTTTCTGTTTCTCTTATACATAAATGATTTACCGCGAGTGATAAAAAACTCGAAAGCACTACTATTTGCGGACGACCTAAAACTTTTTAATAAAGTCCAATCCCCAAGTGACTGTTTAAATATTCAAGAGGACATTAACTCAGTAATTAAGTGGTGTATCAAAAATAAACTAAAACTAAATATCAATAAGTGTAAAGTCCTTACTTTTACTAGATCGAAAAATCCCTTACTTTTTGACTATAAGATGAATGGAAAGGTCTTACTACGAGTCACCTCCGTTAAGGACCTGGGCGTGTTTTTCAATACCAACCTTAACTTTAACTTACACATTGAATACCTAACAAATGAGTGTTACAAACTTCTTGGTTTCGTTATCAGGCATACACTCAATTTCACGAATATACAGACAATGCTAACCTTATATAATGCGTTTATTAGATCCAAGCTTGAGTATGCTGCATGTATCTGGTCTCCTCAAACTCTCAAATACTCAGACATGATCGAAAAAGTGCAGAAAAAGTTCATCCGAGTAATGTTTTTTAGGTCAACCCAAAATTATCCACATTTGATCTCTTACGGTACCCAGCTTAATTACTTAAATAGTACTTTCGGCTTAGATATAACGAGGTTAGAAACCCGACGGTACATTGCCTCCACAATTTTTGTCTTCAAAATTTTACACAACTTGTTATACTCTTCCGAATTACTTCAAGAAATTAAGCTTAAGGTACCATTTGTTAAGCTAAGGCAAAATAATACTATTTTTGTAGTTAACAACACAACTTCCCCACTTATTAAGATCTTGATCGCTTTAAATAAGTTATCCTCAGTTAATGATATCGACTTTTTTCACGATCCCCTAAATTCAATAATAAATAAAATTAGATCCTAGTCCTAATATTTGTTCAGAGCCCCAGTGCCATGTAATTGGAATTTTTATTCTGTATGGTTTCTGGTTAAATAAATAAATAAATAAATAAATAATTACCTAAACATCTTTATTATTTCTTTTTTCTGCATTTTTACCGCAATAAAAGCAATTCGAAATAAAAGCGAATTCTTTTGCTTCCTGAACAATTTGTTTTTGTTCACTAACTCTTCTTCCTGCCTGTTTTACACCCGATGAGATGAAGCTGGACCTGTTGATCGTTAATTTACAGGAATTATGAATAAAATCGTCATAAAGTTTATTCCAGGTTTTACATCTCAAATCATTTGCTTTAACCGGTAAAACTAACGTTCTTATTGCAGATTTTGCAAGTTTATCAACAGGCCCAACGCAATTGCATCAGCATAAAACAGGCAGGAAGAAGACTCAGTGAACAATAAAAAATGCAGGAAAAAGAAATAATAAAGATGTTTTAAGTAAAACAGTTGAATATAAGATAACAAAAGAGAATATTTAAGCAAACATTAAAGAGAAGCAAGAAGACAGATTTTGAAAAAATCTTTATTAACATACAACATGTTGATTTATCATGTCAAAAACCGTGTAAGTATATCTTAAAACTATTTTTCCAGTTTTTGGCGATTTTCTCGAATTTTTGCTATAGGAATAATATTTTTTTATTTATGTTTATTAAAATATGAGCCTTCCCGAAAATTTTGCTACCCCGCGCACCTCTGTACGATAAAAAAAATAGATTTTTCATCCCCTTGAAAAAGAGGTGGTTTTTTCAGAAATCGTGAGATCTTGGAAACGGTTCAACTTTATGGGTCCAAAATTTATTTTCTTTTTTATAATAAAACAAGCTATGTTTCCTCCAAATTTCAAACCCCTACGACATTTTTTCACAAAAAATAAGAATAAAAAACGAAAAAAACAGTTTTTCCGGTTTTTCTAGGAAAATTGGAGGTTATGTGAAAATACTTAGTGCAGATACAAAAGTTGCTCATTTTTTAAATCTCTATAACTCTATAAATCAGCACAAATAAGCACAAAACCATGACAGAGGTTTCTAAGTCATTCTGATTATGATGTGTGTTGCATATAACGAGAAGCACATACAATTTGGGGATTCGCACAAATTAGCATAAAATTAGCACAATATTTTGTCAATGTAATAAACTGGGATAGTGGGATGACGATTCAGAGGTGCTAACTTAATCCAGCCGTCGAGTCCGTGGATGACAGGAACGGGTTTTGGAACACTACTTATCACTAGCTAGGATCGTGAATTACTCTTAAGATGGACTTTAAAGTTCTTGAAGAGCAGAAAAGAATGATTACAGAAAAGTTTCAAAAAGAAACTTGCTGAAGTTTGGGTGCTAATATCACGGAGGTATATGTACATCTGTATTTTGTAAATTATAAATAACGAAGAAGCGTAACAGCATTCAACATACAAACAAACGCATAGGTAATGAAGGCACATTTCTTACGAAAATTATGTTGTCAAGCTTCACCTTTGGAAAGATGTATCAGATGCAAGATATAGTTCGTAAAAAAATCCATTAGGATACATATCATATACATACATAACAGATTATTATTAAATTTAAGAGTAAACACAAACATGACATGAGTCAAACTCGTAACACGTGTCATAATCGTACACAATTTCAAAATGTTATTAGTTACATGTCTGGCATGACGTGCCTGACAAAAAGAATATAATGTAGGGGTGTTAAAACACGTTAGACAAGTTGCGATTTTGGCCGAAATGTTCCACCAAAAAATTTTGTAACGTGCAAAGTTTAGTAGGGAACGAACCAAATACAATATTATTGGTTCTCGGTCACCTCGCGGTCCGCAAAAACGAAACAAAGTAAAATAGATTTCATATGAAAATTTATGTTGCTCGGAAAGCTACAATCAATAACGATTACCTAAATGACGACATAGTTTCTACTTCACTATAGTGAAGAGGTATTTAATAATGACACGAGAGGCTACTAACTCATTTATACGACAATGTGTACCTATATGTTTCTTAAATATTAGATTTCCATTAAATTGAAAATATGTGTTACGTCGGAAATGATAAATGGTGTAAAATTTTATCACATACGACATGCTTCGGAACGTCTCCACGTTCCTGTTTAAATTTTTACACCCCACGCAATGAATATTAAATGCTTACAGTAACATGTAGTTTAAAAGGTGCTACATTCCGAAAATTGCAGGAAAGATATATGGTATCTGAATATTAAATAGACACCTTTGGCCGACAATAAATTTTAACGGAATGTGGAAAAACGATCGAAAATTATGAAGGAATTATTGATTGAATTTTCAGACGTACCCCTTCAAACCAAATTATGAACAACCTATTGAATGCCTTTTAAGATCTCCGTGATACTTAGACAACAAAAATAAATGCCTGGGTTTCCTTTCATACAATAATTTATAATAATTTCTTACTATGTTTCTGTAAC